AACACTCAAAAGAGCCATTTGGATCCGTTTCCCACAGAAAAGAAAACACCGGGAGCCACAAAACCCTTCCCGTGCCTGACTATTTCTTGAGCGGCCACAAAACTAGCATATGTAGTTGAATTAAATGTTCTGTTTTCTTCTGAAATTTTTCTTTTCTTGGATTTATCCGTGGTTGGCCTACCGGGGGTTGAAAAGCTCAATAAATCGCGTGCTGGCAGGTGTCGCACATTGGCAGATGTGATGCATATTTTGAGTGACAGGGAGCCGCAGCAGAGGGATGAAAGAGCCACATGCGGCTCCAGAGCCGCAGGTTGCTGACCCCTGCTATAAACAGAGGCATAGAATCAAGAACATGTGAAGTGTTAGTACCGCTTTACAAAGCCTTAATAAGGCCACCTCTGGAATAATGCAAGCAATTTTGGTCACCTTACTACAAAAAAGATGTTGAGACTTTAGAAAAGAGCAGCTGAGATGATCAAAGGACTGGAGGCAAAAGATATGAAGAACAGCTGCAGGATTTGGGTTTGGCTAGTCCAGGGATCAGCAACATGCGGCAAGATGCTGAGCTTGTCGATCAAAAGGTTGGCAGTTCAGCGGTTCGAATCCCTAGTGCCGTGTAACGGGGTGAGCTCCCGTGACTTGTCCCAGCTTCTGCCAACCTAGCAGTTCGAAAGCAGGTAAAAAATGCAGGTAGAAAAATAGGGACCACCTTTGGTGGGAAGGGAACAGCATTCCGTGCACCTTTGCGTTGAGTCATGCCGGCCACATGACCACGGAGACGTCTTCGGACAGTGCTGGCTCTTCGGCTTTGAAACGGAGATGAGCACCGCCCCCTAGAGTCGGGAACGACTAGCACATATGTGCGAGGGGAACTTTTACCTGTACCTTTCAAGGTTAAAACCTTACAGTACAGTGGACTAAAGCACTGTTATTAACATCTGCTGCTTGCAATTACTGCAAGTTCGAATCTTACCAGGCTCAAGGTTGACTCAGCCTTCCATCCTTTCTAAGGTGGGTAAAATGAGGACCCAGTTTGTGGGGGCAATAAGCTGACTTTGTATAAATATACAGAAGTATGAAGGCTATTGTTTTAATCTGTCTGGGCCAAAATGATTTAATTTGATTTTATCTGGTTTTTAAATTTTTTGTATCTATGTATTTTATTGTTTGGCTGTTCACCGCCCTGAGTCCTTCGGGAGTAGGGCGGTATACAAATCAAAATAAACTAAACTATTGCTTAACGCATTGTAAGCCGCCCTGAGTCTCCGGAGAAGGGCGGCATATAAATTAAAGCAAAAAAGAAAAAGGAAAAAAAACCTTCCAACTGACAAGAGGGGCTTGATATTGAATTACTTGCCAAAAGCTGAAATCTTTCTGGTTTCTCTTGCAAGCTTCTGAAGCTTTTTCACCTGCTTCAACTTTACCTGTGTGCCACAGGTGTTCTTTTATTATTCCTAAGGTGTAGTAAAACGACTTTGCATGCCATGAACGCTGTGTAAAGCAACCCCGGGAATATTCTTGGCCCTCCTGGTTCCTCTTCTGTGCCATAGATAAGAGAGATTTGGGGGGTATATGTAAAATGCAAGCAGGTCACGGAGGGGGAGACCCCAGGAAAATAAACCAGTGGCTTTGAAGGGGAGGGGGGCATTTGCTGGACTGGCAGTCTTCCACCCATTTCTTCCGCAAGCATTGCAACCCAAGAGGATGCTTTGATGGGAGCGCGCCGTCAAAGACCGTTCGGGCTTCTCCGTTAATAAGACGCAAAGCGGGAGGAAAACCTGCAACTTGGGAGGTGGCGCATCGCGGTCCTGCCACCTAAAGGCATCCATCCCACCCATTCCGCGGGTTGCAAGTTTGCTAAAGCGGTGCCAAAGCTCCTTGCAGAGCTCCTAAGAAAAACCAAAAATTAAAATAAAATAGAAAACCCTTTTAAAAAAGAGAGAGAGAAGAGAAAAATTAAAATAATATAAAAATTTTAAAAACATGGAAATAAAATGATTAAAAAACACCCGAACTTGAAATGACATATATATAAAAAATAAAAATTAAGATAAAATAGAAAAAAAAAATTAAATTAGAATAGAATATGAATTAAATTTGAAAGGGCCACCCATTGCACCAACCTGAACTCCTTGCAAAAATGAACTCTTCTCCTCCCCCTCCCCCCCCCGCGGCGTCCTGCTCCCCCTCCCCAGCAATCGTTTTGCACCGCTGGCGCAGCTGCATCTTCATAATTACTATTAATTTCTTTTCCAGCAAAGGGCGGGGCTCCTCCTCGCCGTCGCTTCCCTGCCAGGCGGTAGGGGGCGCGGTGGAGCCGACGCCTGGCAAAGCGGGACGGCTTCGGAAAGAAAGAGCCCCTCTAGCAGGCCGGGGGAGAGAGAGAGAGAGAGAGAGAGAGAGAGAGAGAGAGAGAGAAGCGCGCAGGCGCACGGGACTTAGGCGCGCGCGCTATTTCTTTCTTCTATTTTTTTTCTTTCCCCTCTCAGCCGTTAGGCAGGGAAAGAGCGCCGGCTCGTTCCCGCCACGCCCCCTCGGGCGCTTGATTGTCCAATCAGCGGGCGAGAAGCGCCCGAGATAGAGCCGGGGCGCGAGCTTTGCGCGGGAAAGAATCTTGCGCTCTTGCCAGTTGGAGGCTGGCAGGCGAGGCGGGCGGACGTGCCGCTCCCGGCTCCCCTCAGTAAAGACAAGAAAAGTGTGTAAAAAAAAAAAAAGTCTAAAAATCCACTTACTGTGACACACAACCATAAGGCGCCCCCTTATCCCAGACACGTGCCTATATCCATCTATGTGTAGGTCTATAAAAGATACATGAGGCAAAAAAAAGGCCCTTTTACAGGCATGAGGTAACATGCATGTATCACTTGCATGCATGTAGGAAACATGCATGAACACATGCAACAATTTAACTGCGTTTTGTGCAAGTGCAAACTGCACCCAGGGCGAGTCTGTGGATGTGTTGTCTCTAAATGCTTTTATTTATCCCTGCAGAAATGGAAACCTACCAAAGCCATCTGAACACCAGCCATTGTTTAACTGTATTAACTCTATTCACCCACGGCGGGAGAGATTTTTTAAAATTTCCCCTCATTTTTTAAGCTCTTTTTAGCACCTTTTGTGGCTCTGAGAGGGGCTTCCATGGGGGGGGAGATTGGAGAGACCCTCCACCCCTTAAAATGGTGGAGGGTCTCTCAGGTTGCAGCTCATCACTGAGGAAATAAAACAATTTTTTTTCAGGTTTCTCAAGGGTCTCAGTTTGCCATGGGATTTCCAAGTCTCTTGGTCATTTTTTTTTTTTTTTAATTTTCACAATCTCTGCGGTATAGGATAGGAGGGCAGGTGTGTGTGGGGGGGGGTGTCTTATTTTATTTTATTTATTTATTTATAAAATTTTCCTCGTGGCCCAACAACTTTTAGCAAGATGCTAAAAAAAAAAAAAAAAGAGGTTCAGAGATAAAACCAGACCTGGAAAAAAAAAAGGGTTGGGAAAGGAAGGCCAGGAGGAAGAAGCACAGAGTGAAAATATCAATTTAGGAAATGGAGAGATGGAAGAAAGAAAGGATAAAAAAAAAAAAGAGAGAGAGAGAGAGCTATTTTGGTCTAGTACAGGGGTCTGCAACCTTAAACACTCAAAGAGCCATTTGGGCCCGTTTCCCACAGAAAAGAAAACACCGGGAGCCACAAAATCCTTCCCGTGCCTGACTATTTCTTGAGCGGCCACAAAACTAGCCTATGTAGTTGAATTAAACGTTCCGTTTTCTTCTGAAACTTTTCTTTTCTTGGATTTATCCATGGTTGGCCTACCGGGGGTCGAAAAACTCAATAAATCGCGTGCCGCACATTGGCAGTTGTGACGTATATTTTGAGTGACAGGGAGCCGCGGCAGAGGGGTGAAAGAGCCACATGCGGCTCCGGAGCTGCAGGTTGCTGACCCCTGGTCTAGTAGTTAAGGCTAAAAACCAGGAGGTTATGAGTTCTAGTCCTGTCACTTTGTTGAATATACACTGAGAGTTTCTGCACCAAAGACAAATTCCTTGTGTGTCCAATCACACTTGGCCAATAAAGAAATCCTGTTCTGAATTCCGTTCTGTCCTGTTGTATTCTGCATTCTATTCTATTCTGCATCCCATCCCATCCTATCCTACATCCTATCCTATCCTATCCCATCCCATATTCTATCCTATCCCATCCTATACTGCATTCTATCCCATCCTATACTGCATCCCATCCCATCCCACCCCATCCCATCCCATATTGCATTCTATCCTATCCCATCCCATCCCATCCTATACTGCATTCTATCCTATCCTATTCTGCATTCTATCCTATCCCATCCCATCCTGCATTCTATCCCATCCTATCCTACATCCTATCCTATCCTATCCTATCCCATACTGCATTCTATCCCATCCCATCCTATACTGCATCCTATCCCATCCCATCCCATTCCATCCCATCCTATACTGCATTCTATCGAATCCTATTCTGCATTCTATCCTATTCCCTCCCATCCTGAATCCTATCCTATCCTATCCTATCCTATCCTATCCTATCCTATCCTATCCTATCCTATCCCATGCTCCATTCTATCCTATCCTATCCTGCATTCTATTCTATTCTGCACCCATCCCATCCCATGCCATGCCACCCTTTCCCCACGGAAGCCCCCGGAGCTGCGAGGGATTCCAAACGGGCTGCGCGAGGGCTTGGCGACACGCTGCTGTGACGAGTCTCTCTCTCTCTTTCTCTCTCTCTCAATCGCTCCTTCTTTTTCTCCCCCTCCTCCTTCTTCTCGTCCTGGCAGATTCTTCCAAGGGGTCCGCGCACGAGGAACGAAGCCGCCCGAGTCCAGACCGAGCCCGCCTCCCCTACGACCGACGGACCCGCTTCCCCCGCCCCGGAGCTGGCGGGGTGGCGAGAGGCGCTTCCCCTCCGCCCGCGTCGCTGCTTCTCCCGCGGGAGGGAAACTCGAGCAGGTCTCCTTTCGCCGCCGCCGCTGCTGCCGCCCGCCTCCTCCTCCTCCTGCTCTCCTCCCGCCGGCGGGTCGCTGGTGGCGCAGCTCGCCGGCTAGAGCAGCCCCAGCGGCATCTCCTTCTCCTCCTCCTCCTCCTCCAGCCAGGCTACGCTTCACCTGTAGGCGGCGAGGCTCCTCCAGTCTCCGGAGCCGGGCGAGGCGCCAGCGAGCGGCTCCCTCCCGCGCGCCTGGAAGCAGGGCTGGGGGCTCGTCGAGGCGCAGCAGCCCCGGAGGCTCCGATCCCTGCCCGGCGCAAAGGACGACTTGGCCAACTTCGCCACCCGCGGAGGACGGAGCAAGCAGGGGCTGAAGCCAGGCGGAGGGGAAGGCTGAAGTCCCCGCCGCCGATTATTCCTCCTCCTCCTCCTCTTCCTCCTCCTCGCCAGGCAGTGCCAGCCGCCGCGTCCTCTAGCCTTGCAGCAGGGAAGGGAGGCGATCGCCGCGGCGGCGGCGGCGGCGGCGGAGGAGGAGATGGAGACGCTGCTGCTGCTGCTGCTGCCGCCGCCGCCGCCGCCACTCCTGCCTGCTTCGCCCGGGTCTGGGGCTCGCTTAGCCGGCGCAACCAGGGAGCAGCTCCGCGCCGGGGCCGCCCGCTCCAGCTCCAGCTAAGCTGCCTCTCCGCCGGGACGACGGCGCAGCCCGAGGGATCCCCGCGCTCTGTCTGCCCGTCCGCCCTCCGCCAGGCTGCCATGCGGGCACCAAGCTCTGCCGCCCGGCCGGGGCAACTTCTCCGGGACTCCCACGACCCCCGACGGGACTCTACGCTCAGCCCCGCGCCGGCCCGGGAGTCTCCCCGGCGGAGCAACGCCCGGGCGCGGATAAAGTTAAACTTCTGCTGCGGAAACCGAAGAGGAGGAGGAGGAGGCGGCGGTGGCATCTTCTCCTCGCCCTCCCGCTTCCCTCGCCGCTGCCCGGGCTGGTGGGCGTTGCTCTGGGTCCAGCTCCACGTGTGGCGCGCTCTGGCGCAAGGTAAGCGGCCGAGGGACCACCTCGCCTCGCCCGCCCCCGCCCGCTCGCCCGCCCCTGCCCGCAGCTGCCTCCGCTCCACTTTGCCAACATCGGGCATGAATCTGCAATTCCGCCCCGCCGGCCCCGAGCCAGAGGCGGGGGAGCACGATGGAGCAGGCAGGCGGAACTGGGGGCTTCGAGGGATGCTCGCTCTGTCGCCCCCCCAGCTCAGACGCTGCAGGCGGGCGAGAGTGGACTGGCCCTGAGGGGCGCTCCAGCCCCCCCCCCTCTCTGCAGCTGGCAGCCCGGTCCCCTCGGAGCCTTGAGAAGCGGGTGGCGGGCGAGCCAGCCAGGCGCCGGGACGAGGGGCGTTGCTGCTGGCCGCCGGCGCGCTTCCTGGGCCCGGGAGGTCCGGCCTCGCCCGCTCTTGGCTGGAATTGGGGGTGGGTGGGCTCCGTGAACCGGCCAGGGGCGAAGTCTAGCAGCCAAGCCCTTTGCTTCCCCCCCCCCTTTTGAGAAGGGGAGGGCTGGGCTTGCCAGTTCGTCTTGGAAGTTTCCCGTCCGGGCCTTCGCGCCCAGCTGCTCTCCCCCTCCCCATTTGAATCTGCCCCCTCCCTCCCTCCCTTCTTGTCCCGAGAAACGCCAGAGGCCAAGCCAAATATTGGCAAGCTTCCTTCCTTCCCAATCCTTTCACAAATCTTCCCTCGAGTGAAAGTGGCCCCTTCCTCCCTTGTATTTGGCATTATCCCCCTTCTTCTTATTTTTTCCCCCCCCCCTCCTCTCTTTTGGATAAATATCATCATGACCTTTGGGAAGATAAATATTTGAACGGATAGTTAAACGAGATTTCTCGCAGTCCGCAGTGAAGCCAGTTTTGCATGCACGGGCTTGAATCAATTAAAATGACCTTTCGGATATTATTTCTCTCCCCCCCCCCCCCCCCTCTGGTTGAAGAGTGAAAGTAACTTTCCCTAGAGAACGAATTGAGCCTCTTCTCCCTGATTAGCTAATAAGACCTGAGCATTTGGGAGCAGTCAAGACAAAACAAGTCTGCAGCTTGGTGCAACAATAACTTGGAAATATAAGCCTTGTTGGTGTGTTCAGTAGAAATTGCTTTAAAAGGTACTTAGGAACTGGATTACCTTGCCAGAAGTTTTTATTTTATTTTATTTTTTGGGAAGCTTCCGTGTTCTGCAGCTTTAAGAAAAAAGAGAGTTGCTGTTTCTCGGTTATTGGAAGATGTTCCTTTAGTAGTGCAGTGTTATGGCTTGGATAATGAGTGACCTTCTGAATACTGTTGAGCGAAGGCCACTCCTTGCGATGTCACATACTTGTAATGGTCAGCGGGCATGCACTGCCAAGCTAGGAAATCACATTTCGAAGGGATAACAATAGGAAGCGCTTAAAACTCACTGGACCAGGGATTCAGCTGCTAGCATATTTTGACCAGTGCTTAAGTGACCACTTCATTTCTGGAAGTGCTAACAATGTGCTGCTTATTATTGAGCATTTCTTTCATAGCGCTCTGAAAACTAATAGGATTGATTGAGGAGGCCATGCAGCAAACACAACTTGTTCAGATCCTGAGGCTGTGATTCCTTGTCCCCTAAAGTTGATTTACATCAATGGTTAGGATCGAATCTTTTAATGAACATAAAGGGCGCAATGGAAGTTCGTCTCTTAAAGCGAAAGGATTGGAATTTCGTTGGTACTTCAAAATGCCTGAATTGGTCAGGAGCCCGGGACTCTTATGGGTTTCTTGTAGCAACTCAAAATAAACAGACCAACAACATAGAAAGTCTTGTTCTAAACTATTAATAAGTCCGGGACAAGCAGCTCTCCTGCCCCATCTTGAAAACTAGAATATTTAAGATATAAACTTTATTTATTGGCGCCTGCAACATCTTGTATGTTTCGTTAGTTTTTAAGGGATCACATTTCAAATATAGAAACAAGTCCAAGTCCTGGCATTCAGGACTATATGTCACTAAGTTTGTGTGAATTCTTTTCGAAGGGAAACCAGACACGTGTGGATATCACCAAATTGCTCAATCAAATAAATATGGCGGCTTTGGCAAATGATCCAGTATTTCAGAGCTGGTGGCCTTTGACTGAATTAAACTGATGTTAATTGAGGGCATTCGGGCAGAAGGAAATGGAAGAAATCCCTTCCAGAAAGAAAAAAACACCAAGCATTTTTTTTTCAGATTGTGGAGATTGTCATCTAAAGTGAAATCTCATGACAAAATAGTTAAGTAGAGTTTTCATCCCAATTTGGGGGCATTGGCAGCACTGGATAAAACTATTTCTTGCTGCTCTAGATTACGTTGTTTTGATTTTTACCTATACCCGTGATGGCGAACCTATGGCACACCTGTCACAAGTGGCACAAGAGCCCTCTCTGCGGGCATGCAAGCCATCGCCCCAGCTCATTTCTGCTGCACCTCCTGCCAGCCAGCTGGTTTTTGGATCTCTGCCGCGCATGCATAGGGGGTGGGGCACATGCGGGAGACACGTACGCAGGGGCAGGGCGCATGTGTGGGGAATCATGCATGCATGCACCGGGGTAGCACACGGAGGTCACACACACATGCGTGGGGGCAGGGTGCATGTGGGTGCATGTGTGTGTGTGTCACGCTCGCATTGCATTATGGGTGTGTGCGCGCACTTTCGGCACTTGGTGCCGAAAAGGTTAGCCATCACTGACCCATACTGTAAATCAGGGATGTCCAACCTTGGCAATTTTATGGCTTGTGGATTTCAACTCCCAGAATTCCCCAGACAGCATGACAGGCTGGAGAATTCTGGGGGTTGAAGTCCCCAGGTCTTCAAAGTTCTCAAGGTTGGATACCTTTGCTGTAGATCATTACTATTTGAAGTTATTGAAGAAGATGGAGATAAAACTTTGTCCCTCCCGAACATGGTAGCTCTAGTTATCTTGCTTCATATAAATAACAGAATGACAGAATAACAAAGTTGGAAAGTCTTACTTTGGCTTGCTTGGACATCTTGAATGGGCTGCTAATTTACAGGTAGAGAGTGAGGTCCTTATTTTTTAATGCCAAATGGGATTTCAGAGTTTCTCCCTACGTAAACAACAACTACCTCTACCCTACCCTATTTGCAATCTGGTTTTGAAATCTTCAGTTTCCAAAGCGACTTAAGAAGAAAACTTGGCTCTCTCTAACTGATGCTGTGGATCTTGGGGTTCTACTTGGCTATAATCTGACAATGCTGAAGTTGGTAAATTGTTCATAATTGTTATAATTGGTGGGCTGAATATGAGATTATGTTAATTTCCTATTAGTTGGCATCTGAAAGAGTTTGAGATCTGTGGGACAAAACTTGAGCTGTCAGATACGATGAATAATTTTGAGCTCCCTCTGGTTTTACATCTCTCAAGCAGAGATAGTTCCACATTTATATTTCTCAGAATATTTACAGTCTCTCTCTCTCTCCCTCCCTCCCTCCCCCCACCTTTCTTTTATTAGCACATGTTCTTTACTGGCTTTTTGAACAGTTTTTGCTTTTCAGTATTTCGTTTTCTTGGCATATGTGAGCATATTTTCATACAAAGTAACTTCCTTCCAGAAATTTAATACAAACATACCCAATGTAACAATTCAGCATGGGCCAGTTACAGATTAATCACCTACATAAAAGGCATTAATCACATTGTTACTAAACAGGTTACAAACAAGAAACAGACCCATACACAATTTACCATACTTTTTGGAGTATAAGAAGCACTTCTCATCCCCCAAAAGAGGATGGAAATGTTGGTGCGTCTTATACATTGAATACAGCCATTTAAAAATGGGCCCGTTTTCGGCCTTCCAAACCCCCAGGAGCACTCTGCAGGCTTCCCAAATCCTCCGTGCACCTCTTCGAAAATCTTGGTGCGTCTTATAATCCAGTGCGTCTTGTAGCCCCCAAAAATACAGTACTTTGGGTGTAATTTATTGATTGGGCCAAAGTTATTTTTCCCCCCAGATGGCCGTGCAGATCTCTTTACTTGGTCTAAAGCTCAATTTGACTAGAAGCCTTTTCTACAAAGTCTTACAAGGGAGATTATTGGAAGCAGTTTATAAAACAGAGAAAGTCAAATTTAAAAGTGATTACAAGTGACAAGTTCATAAAGCCCCCCCACCAAGAATCTTAAATCTTCAACTTTTTCAGAAGTTTTAAGTGTTATTTTTTCCCCCCCAGTGACTTCATGCCCCTTCATTTATGGCCCAAATATTGCAACCCCAGGAAGAGAAAGAGGTGGCTATCCAGGTATAAGTGTACTTGGAGGAAACTGATTATTAAGATTTATTTCAACCCTGATGGAGGATCTTTGCTGAGGGAGAGGCACAATGGAAATGTCGGTTCTCTTGAACTCGTGCTGGGTTGTCTGGTTTGAGATTGGCAGGCCCTGTGCCAATCCTCCCTGTGCAACCACCCATCAGCGTGGCAATGGATGGAATTCTGTTGGACTCCTAAAAATATGAGCTGGGGAGACCCACATTTTGTTCGTTTTTTTCATTTCCCCCTGCTATTCTGCCTGTACACGGACCGGCTGAAATCAGTCATCCAGAGACTCCACGAAGTGCCACGGTTGTTAGTATTTATTTATCTATCTATCACAAATGCTTTTCTGCCCCCTCAATCATTCCCTTTGAAGCACCTTGCCTGAACAACATATGTTAATCGCCTCACAATAATTAACACATTATCAGTGTTATCAGATAACAAGTAGTCAACGGAAGCTATAACACGCTGGTAGTTTGCTAATAAACCACAATGCACTCATAGTTTGCTAATGCTGCTCAATGTCTCCCTCCCCCCCACCCCATATTCTACCTGGATTAAGGTTAAGAGAGGTGGGGCAGGTCTTTTGACAGTTGCCTGGGGAGCTGTGATGGATTGGGCGAGAGCTGGCAAATTGCAACTGGATCCAAGATAAAGGAGAGAAGGTGGTTACAGACCTGGAAAGTAGGGAGATGGTTTGAACTGGATTTGAAGTGGGATGACCTCTG